GCGACGCGAAGTCTATCGCCAGAGACACGAAAGAAAGTGGTCTATCTGATGTAATAATATATATTATCGCGCGCAAGCGCATATCCGCAGAAGAAAGAAAGAACCAACAAAACCTCTCCGAGTTGTCCAACTGGATCGCGCAAAAACACAACGACATTGAGAGAGACGTACGTCGGACGAACACTGTGGCGAGAACATTAGTATCACCTTACGTTCGTCAATGTAATAATAATAATACTAACTTTGTTAAAAACGCACAATTACATGCAGATTTAAACGAGAGAGAAAGAATCATAACAAAGCGCTTTGACACTATTGTGCTTTTATGTTAAATTTATTTAAAAGTTAACAATTGAACAAAAACGCACGACATTCAACTCGATAAATCATTCATCTTCAATTAAGGAAATCTGAAAACCGTCATTTTGACGGACTTTTGACATAGCAAGGCTGTTTTTTTTTTAAGTCCAAAACAAAAATGTTATAATTAGAAAAAATAAACTAAAGACAGAAACAACTTTGATTTGAGAACAATAAATACAGATGAAAATAAGAACAAGAAGGATCGAGTTTCAATAGACGATGCAGTTTTAGCTTGAGTCCAGCGGAAAAATTCAATAAAAAATGTTCGGATCGCACTGACACACATATCTTTTTTCGTCTGGATGGAAACTTCATCTTTACAGTCGCGAGGAATGTGTGGTGTATGAAATTTCTGTCGTTTCACATTTCGGAATCGTAATTTGCGCGAGCGTGTGTGTGCAGCATTGCTTGCGAAACCGCGACCGTCTTTCTCGCGGCACATCGCATGACCGTTCGAGATGAAGCAATCGATCGCAATTGCTGAACGAAAAAAGGTTTCTCATATGTACCTGACTGTTGTGACAATTACTATAATTTTGAAAAGATACTTCCTGCGCCGAGTTACAGCGCACGCAATTGCGAAGACTGACCATATAGTAATGGTGTTTCATATTGGCGAGCGCGATGTATGTTCGATGAATGGATAGGAAAATATGTGTGGTCGAAGAAATATATGAAAATTCACGAGTGATCACGATCAATCGTACACATTGCGCTTCCCCGATTATTATCGTAATCGTAGCGACTCGCGATAATGGGGGGACAATCATTGACCCGTAGCTGTGACAAATAGCAGCGATCCATCACGTTTTTATCATGAAACAAGTATGTCAATTTCGCGCGAAATTGGCACCCTAGATAATTTCACGTTTCTTTATAGAAATACAGTGTGAATAACTTTAATATTCGAACACAAGTTTTACTTCAGAAAATAATAATTTTGTTTAGGATAAAAAGAAAAATTTGTTATATATATATATATATTGTATATATATATATATATATATATATTACACTATAGAGTCTAGTTAACAAAAATATAGACATCATATATATTTAAATTTTATATATTTTATATATTTAGTTTTTTAAATTATGTTTAATATTATTGTAAATAAAATAACGTCTGATTTTAAAGTTACAACAATATTCGGACAAAGACACACAAATACTTTTCCTTTTATTTTTCAAAATTATGCGACGAACTATCGAACTGCAACAAAGTGTCAAGAAACATATGCGGTGTCCGAATATTAAAGTTATTCACTACTTTTCGTATTTTCTTCACGTTTTGCCATCACCGATGTCCGCCTCTTCGAGGCGTCTTCACCGTCCGCTAATTGAATCAGTGTGACCGAACGAGAGCGCTACGTGCGCCATGCGGGAATATTCCCTTATTTCCCACTTTATTCCGCGACCGTTCTCCGTACTTGGAAGGCACGATATCGCGGTTGTCGCTTATGCCCGCGGGCGTTAAGATTAAGGCGGCGATCTGTGGCGTGGAGTGCCGGGAGGCCGGGGCTTTTACGGCGGCGGCTTGCTGTGAAACCGTACGCCGATTCCCGATGGGTTTGCGCCATCGTTCCACAACCCCGTGGCGAACCTTAAGCGACCGCCGGACTCCGTAAGTGTCCTGGCAAGTTATCCGCCTCCTCCGCGTCTGCAGACTCGGCTCCGCGCACTTGGAGAGATCTGATTGTCAAGGATTCGAGACTCGTAACTTGTGCGACGAAGAAGAACACGAGTGTCTTCTAAAGACACACAAATCTTGATAATTTTCCAGCCGGACTAGATAGATTTCTTCGATAAATCGCAAGCTAAAACCGCGCGTCCCCACAGATGAGGAACGTAGTTGCCGAAGAAGCAAGAGACAGTCTCAATCAAGAAACGCGGCCGCTTCGTCCGCTTCGCTTCTGTAGACGCGGCCCTGCTTCTACAGATTGCACGGTCTGAAATACCCGCGGACACCTAATGGTATCCATGCGCGCTTACAACAATATGGTTAATTGAACGGGATATTCTCGGTGCTTGAGTTCGCAGCAGGTCCATTATTCGAATTACGACACGACCGTCTCTCGCGGCGTGTGACGGCGCGGTTGAGTTCCGCATATTTTTCCGTCGACTTTATGTCGCACACGTGATAACGTTACTTATTTATTGCGTTCGTTCGAAGGACCACTGTTACATATTCGTGTCGGAGGCGAACAAAAGAAAAAAAGAAACTGAGGAGAGAGCAGCAATAAAATAAAAACCCGTCGAAGCTTTTGTTTTTATGATATACTAAACTTTATCTCGTAAATTCGCGGCCTGAATAAAAGCGCGAATGAAATCGCGAACGCGTCTGAAATGCGCGTATTGAAAAAAAAAAAAAATGCATCGACATAGCCGTCTCCGAGCTCGCGAAAATATCAGAAACCAGTTCGCGCGCGCTTCACGTCGGGATGCGTTTCGTCCTCCTGTTTCACTTTTTTTTTCTCCCGTTTTCGCGGCCGAAGCGAAGCGCTTGATCCCTTCAGCGAGTGCGACACAATGAAATTGGATTAAAGTCATGCCCTTGGTAGTTTCTCTCGCCCGACTCTCACCCCGCGGCGACGCGACGGTCGTGAGCGGGAGAGGAGTTTTAACGATCTACCGCCGTACAAATTGTCGAGATGCTATCATCTCTCATAGCGGGGGGAGAAGGAAAAGGGAGTAGGAGAGGCAGAGATAGGATGATCGCACGACGCGCGAGAGGACGAAGAGGAAGCGAGAAATCGGAGGGGGAGAGAGAAGAGGGTGAGAAGGGAGAAAGGAGATGCGAGGGAAGATTAGGGCAGCGTCTCCCCACGGCGAGGACGGTAACAGAAACTGCTGCTGATGATGTTTTCTGATGCCGCGCTGCGCGGCTACTGCCGACGCGGCGCGTTTCGCTGCACCGCGCCGTCTCTCTCTCTCTCTCTCTCTCTCTCTTCTCGGCTGCCATCCTCCGGATCTGACGCGATTCGTACGTTGAGGATTCTCAACAGTAAATTACAAAATATGCTAAGCGGCCGATATAAATCAAAAGTGGGGCCCGCGCGTCGTCCCGAAGGGTGAGAGAGAGAGAGAAAGAGAGTCCTTTACCCATCGCCTCTGTCTCCCGGATTCCACGGCACGGGGATAAGGGGAGTGTCTTTCTCTCGTGTAGCCGACCAGGCCCAAAATATAAGGAAAGAGAGACCCCTATCGCGAATCGGGAACGAGGGAGAGTTTGTCTCTCTTCTCGTTCTTTCGCTCGCGTGAAGTGCGCGCGACGACGGCGCAGTTTGCAAACCGAGCAAATGGACCGGAAGGCTCGTACGCGAGGATATAAATAGACACGACCGGAGAGAGCAATATATCTACCCAACTAAAACTCCACTAAATTGCTTCGACGTAATGCAGAGGAGAGCGATGCGGAATCGGTTCTCGCGGTTTCTCGCGCGCGCGAGCAAACGAAGAAAAGGAGAAAGAAAAAAACCTCCATTTATATCGACGGCACGCCACTGCGCGCTCGTTTGGGCGCGCGAGATTTATGGAATATCGATAAAGAAAGAAATCTCTCTCGAAGAATAATATGTTATTAACAGCGCGCGCGTACGAATTCTCGCGCGAGATCTATTTTCCACATATTTATTTCGCAATTAAACGAAGATAATGAAAACACCGCGGCTCGTCGTCCATACTCTCGCGCTCCACAGTCGTCTAATTAACGTGTCAACGTAGCTCTCTACGCCGTCTCTGATTTTACACGCGATTGTCCCCGCCGTAATCGGCCGTAGCAACGAATTATGCTCTACTGCGAGCACTCAATTACTCGCTCGAGACTATTAATCGAGATACGGCGAAACACGAATAGCTAATAATCTACGCGCGCGCGCGTGCGTGCGAGAGCACAACGTTGGGACAACACGGGGCTATCTACGGATCTACACTAATCGAGTCCTTCTCCGACGCATTCGGTACGTATACGCGTCACGCACACACGCGTGTGTTTATGGATGAGCCGCGTACTCGAGAGATGCGCACGTACACACGCAACGTGATTCTAAATTAAGTGCATCGAGCGAAGAAGAGAGCCGCGTGTAACATTACGCACGAACGCCACGTGCACGAACGACGAGCTACCACGAGGAAATTGCTAAAGGCTGTGATGATGTTCCAAGGCCTCTCGTAAAAAATAACACTCGATGATAAAATTAGAAGACCCTTGTCTCCCGTGGCGTTTTGTTTGCCAAGTTGCAAATTCGACGCGTAAAAACGCGCGGAAATGAATATAACAACAGACATTTAAATAACGCATGTACTATCTCGCAAACTTCGTAAAGTTTCAATGTTGCGAGAAAAAATGTCGCGTAAATTATTCATATATCAAACAGGTTCTGTTTTCGCTTCCAGCGTTCCAAGTTTTTTCCATAAAAAATAATGTTTTTCACAAAAGTTTTTTTTAATTTTAAAAAATTCAGATTATATTCAGATAACATTCAGATTATATTCAGGTGATAAAATAATAGTTTTTAAGTAATTTATTTAGATGATATATTGTAATATTGTTTGTAATTTAAAAAAACAAAGCGATAGGATGTTGCTTCTGTTATATCAAAAGTTGTGACGCGGATCGTCACGTTCCGTATACTTACGTAGACCATAGCTCATGCGTGGGGGGCAGTTTTACGTCCGGTGCTGACTTTTCGGGTAACTTGTAGTACTCGTAGACGTAGGAAGCACCGGGATCGTCCCCGTGGCTGGCCACCGCCGACACCTGGTGCTGCTGCTGGAGGTTTAGCATGGCCGCGGTCGCTACGGAGAGCGGATGCTCGCAGTAGGCGCGCCAGTCACCCTCCATACCCTGCACTTGCACCTGCACGGCTGCTACTCTCTTGTGCACTTCCGGATCGGCACCCTCGGCGCCGCTCTGCAGAGATTGCGCGGCTGCCTGAGCTGCCGCTTCCTCCGCCCCCAGATCCTCTTCCTGTTTCGGTTCGCGTAATCCGGACACGTAATTCGACTGCTGCGTTTCGTCACTTACAACGTTGGCGTTGGTGTCTTCGTCACGACTTCGTCGTCTGCAATCAGACAGAGAGAACAAACGAATTAGTTGATCAGACGAAAAACTACAAACGTTCGGAAGATTTCGCGTAGCTGACAGATTGATGGAATGAGTAATTAGAGACACTCGAGTAACAATAACATGAGAAAAAATACATTTGCGGAATGTTACTTGCAATAGATGGTTGATCATCTTTTATGAATACAAATACAATAATTGTGCGTTTCCAGTATCCCGATACGGCGGCAATCAATCGATTCGCCACGGTCGACAATGTTCGATTGAAATAAGCGATTCCCTCGGCGAGACACTGTGAGTGTCGCGTGCATAAAGAAAGAAATTTCCCCGAAGATCACGGTAATCAACGTGCTGCGGGATAACAATTAGGTATAACTGAGCCCCGATGGAGTGTAATAAATTACAACGGACCCGTCGAATTTATCAATTAGCGATAATCGCGCGGCGCATAAGCCGCGCTGATGATTCCTCAATTTAGCAATGACGACCACCAGCGGTGGAAGCACGTCGTCGTGCATGGCGCATGGTTGCGCCGGTAATTTATTGCTTCTGCGCATACATTGCGATGCCTAATCGCATGGTGCGAGACAAGTAAGAGAGAAAGAGAGAGAGAGAGCTCGTATGCGCTTTTGACTCCGTCAAGCCACCTGGATATTTGTCACTGGTCGTTACTTTCCGAAGTAATACCTTCCGTCTGCATGGCTGGGACGATTCACGATGACGGGGGGATTGCGCGCGAGACGCGAATGACTCCGTAAAAAAAAAAAAAAATAAAAAATAATGCTCGATGACGAAGCAGTGTTTAAATGAGCACTTCGCTAAGAAAAAAAAAACGTTTAGAAAGTGTTGCTTTTGCTGTTACGCCTTGCAACATCGCATTTATTTTGTGGAGTACGTAATATTTTTAGAGCGTGTGTATTTGTGTGTGTGTGTGTGAAATCGCATAATTCTTATTCATTGCGCAGTTTTTTTTACGTCGAAATCTACGGTTTGGCGCTTAAACTTTTTTTTTTGCGATACGCGCATCACCTGTCTCTCCGCGCGTAGGGGAGGGACGGGAGGAAGGCGGGGAGATAAACTTTAATTCGTGGATCGAGAAGGAAATCTCGCGCATTGCCACCGGGTTCGGAGCAGATGACGAGACGGGCAAGACGAAGAGGAAAGAGAGGGCTGCGCCGCGTAAATACGTATACACACACGAAGATTAATTATTATAAACCCCTGCCTGTTGCCTGCAGTCATCAATTTATACTTTGCTCTCTCTCTTTCTCTCTTGCGCATCCCAATTCTCCGATCCCGATCCCGTGAGTTGCGCTCACGGAATAAAGGCTCATCCTCTCTAATTTATGCATGTCGAATCAATCTCCCTCCTTCTGCCCTTCCTTCCGCCGTCTCGCTCTTCCCTCTCATCCTCGCGCGCGCTCGTCTATCCGCGTCTTCTAACTACTCCTTCTGCATTTCCTCCTCGCGCACCTGGACAACCGTCGCTCCCGAGAAAAAAAGAAAGAGAGAGAGAGAGAAACCAGCCATCCCGATAATGAGGACCCTGAGTTATCCTGTGCAAATATTTTCCTCGACGACTGTTTGTACAGGCACGAACACGGGCCGGAGATGCGATCATTGAACGCATCGCGAACATATCATGCATATATACGCGTGTTTTTCTGCTGAGAAATCTCGGAGCGCGCGAATGCTGGCAGTCGATTCCGCGGCCACATTCTGCGTCTACATGGAATAATAATACCTGCCCTCCCCTCCGCCCCCCTCGTCTAGACAATGAATTTACGCGCGAATCATCCGAGCAAAAACTTCATTTCCCGGGCGAAGTGCAAACACACTTCGGGGTTTTCACGGCGGAATGATTCGCGCGCTGTTCTTCTTGTCTTCCTGTGCGATCTTCATCATCTTCGTCGGCTATCGTCCGGCGCGCGCGCGTTTCATTTGAATTTTCTCCCAGACTCGGCAGCGTGGTTACATACCTCTATCCGTTGATCACGCGCGAAACTTCGTTCTTCGAGAGATTATTTCTCACCGAATCCGAATTTTACGACTCGACGTTAGCAATAAATTCCGCGCGTTTACGAGCGCTCTTACATATGGGGAATTAATTATAATCGTAAATCTTTTCGCAGTCACACTACTCGCAGAAAGTTTTCAGTCTCCTGCGGAGACAGGACGTATCGGATAAACTCTCTCGACGTCGCGCATCGCAAAAATGTATCTCTTGTTTCCGGATACAATTATCATAACTAAATATAGACATTGTGATTTTTTTTTTTTAGCGCGTCGCAATGTTCCGAAACCTTTGGAATTGCGGCGAACTTTAATTCCGAAGAGTTTGCTGTGATTTTCACTTGTGCACTTGACATTTCATTTATTAACAATCGAATGAGCTCGTGAGAAGATGAACAGAAGGCAGATGCAAGTTAAATCACAAGAGCGTGTGTAGTCTTGATTGAATATAAACAATCAAACTCTTTGATCTCTAGATCTTTTTTAGTGTGCAAGTATGTACAAAGGAATTGACACACACAAAACAATAAAAGAAATAACGAATAAATAACAAAGTGGATCTTATCAAAAATAAATGTTATTTGTTAATTTGAGGTTCATTAAATCTTATTGGACTTTCCCCGCGTTCTTGCCCGAAAGACTTCTGCCTGATAAGTGAGGCTTTAATAATAACTCACGACGCACGACATAATTGATAACCGATGAGTGCGCAATGGCACAAATACTCGAGCAAAATACTCGACTTAACATCCCTGTATTAAGGCATTTCGAACGGACTCGGCATACTAACTTACGGGGGGAGACCCTGTAATTTCTGGAGGGTCTGCGTACACATAAGAAGAGGTTTCCTCTCTCTCTCTCTCTTTATCTCTCTTTCTCTCGCTGATGATGCGCGGACGAGAAAAAGAAAAGCCGCGCGCGTAACGACGTTAAAAACAGCTCCGAATCGGAGAGAGCTCGTGCATCGACGACCGAATTTCAGAATAATGCGAGCACGTATCTCGGCGTCGTCGTTGTCGTCGTATATTGCATGCGCCGCCGCGCGTACGTGACCGGTGTACCTCCCGGGCAGGTAACACGAGAGAAAAAGGTTAACGAAGAGAAGAACGAAGGATCGGGCGCGATGGAAAGGAGGAAGACGGAGAGAAACGACGACGCACGGGAAAAAGGCAGGAAGAATGAGAAAGCGTTCGTATAGACGCGCGCGTTCCGGGGATATTCCGTAGTACGCGTACGATGGATACATATGTAAATCGTGCGAGTACCCTCCTATTACATGACTTCACCTGCGCATCCGGTTTTCGCGTGCGCTTTGATTTCGTCCCCGTACGTCACGTCCTCCTTCCGTTCTTTTTGCTCGTTCGCGAGACGCGCGAGCGTACGAGCGCGGCGCGCGCGCGCATACCACTTTTCTATAACGCTAAATCATAGCGCCGATTTCATTAAAATCTCCGGGATGAGTAATTGGCCGGTGTATGTCGGGCGCGGCCGGAGCCGGAGCATGTCCGTGTTTAGACGGCGATATATCTTGGAAATTAAGGTTTGTGTCCTGATGGATATCGCGCCGTCGTACCTTAAACATTACGTAATTTCGATGACGCCGATAATTTCGAGAAGGAATCCTTTAGCGTCGTTTTACCATCCACGACGTAAATGGACTCGCGTAATTACACCGCAGCTGTCGGGGGAAAGAATATAATTTGCTACAATTCATCAAGCGCGCAAATTTAAAAAAAAACAAAAAACAAGCGTCTAAAAGAGAAACGGAATGAACTTGACCGGTATGAATCGATTCGCGATTCAACTTCGATCGCATCAAGGAAAAGTCTCGTGTACAGTGTCTTGTGTAATTTACATCGAAAATTATATTTTTTTTTCTCCGTATTTTATATAAAATCTTTTTTTGACGGAGTTCTTCTCTCGACGAGACGTCTCCCGAACGCCACTCTCGGATTGACGTAATTTATGTTCCGCGCGAATAAATGAAAACGATACGAGAAATCGCTTCCCGGCCGATTCGTTTGCGCGCCGCGGTATGACGGATAAAATTTTATTGCCGGCAATAAAACGTTACAACGAAACGCGCGGGAATTATCTTCGGGGAAAATCGCATCGATCCGTTCGAGAGTTGGCGCGCACAACCGGCCAGTCTCCATCCAGGGAAGACCTGCCCGGTGAATGTCTCTCGAGTGTAATCCTATAGAGACGTGCGTACACACGCCCGCTATGTGTCTTACTGCTCAAGTGTCTATCTATTACGATCTCCGACAATCCGAGGTCACTAACACACACGCGACCAATATATCGACACGCTCAAAGAGACTCCAAATGCGCTTTGGGCGCACAGGCATGAATTATGCAAATACGGCATTAGTCTCGCTAAAATCTCGAATCGGAGAGACTGACATTTCTTCGAGTAAAGTCAAATCTTGTTAAAAAAAAAAACACAGCACGTTCTCCACGACGGTTGAAATTTACAAGTAAATAGTGAAAGTTCACTAATAAAAATTTTACAATTTTTTATTGCCGTTATTTTTATAAACAAGAAAAGTGTAATTACATATAAAAAACATTGTATCGCGTAAAAAAAAAGTGTAACACGTTCTCCTGACGTTGAAGCGGGTATTTTATTAAATAAATAGCGAAAGTTTGCTAATAAGAATTTTACAACTTAGTCGCCGTTTATTTGTGTATACAGGAAAAATTGTAATTATCAGATACCCGACGGAACAATATTAACATATTTTTACATAAATACATATTTCATGTGGTTCCTATCGCTCGGTGCGTATCGCTTGCGCAGACTTTTGCTGAGAGCCAGAAAACAAGACACAAATTTCCAGAAGATATGAATCCGTTACTTGTCACACACACACACACACACACATACGCGCGGGCATACGCGTGCCAGAATTTTCAACCGAATAAATCTTCCTCGGTCGATCTATCGGTCGGCATTAGGATCATTCGTCTTCCAACGGCGAC